ATATATATATATTGCTATTGTTGTATTTCATTGTAAAATAAAAAAAGAGCATATAAGAAAACTAGCAATAATAATTTTATTTTAAAGTACAACTGTGCAATTACAATAATAATTCTGACTTAATTACTTCATTTTTAAAAATGTTAAATCATCAAGCTTTTAAATTAGTGAAAACCGCAGGGAGCCCTTATAGCTTCTCTTTTGTTGACAACAGCTGATTTCTCATTACAAGTTTGGGAAAGTGGTTGGCGCATGCTGCGTTTCCAAATGCACATTATAAGCGTGCATGAGTTTGAGCAAACCGAGCTGAACGGAACTGAGCCGCTCAGAGACACTGAAAACTGTGAATCATATCGCAGTTTTTATTTTGATTAATCGTACAGCCCTACATAAACCGCCCCGTAGAAGTAACATCCAATAAGATAAATGGGAACACTAACAGCTTCCTCCAGGGTTTATAGACCTCTTTACTCAAAGACAGCTTTTACCTTCCTCCATTTCTCATTTTCAACAATATAAGTTTGTGGACTGCTGATGTTCGCCCACTGTAAGATTCTCCTGGCATTTAGAAAGAGTCAGTTAGTGCCTCCCAGTGACCGCACTGCAGTGTTAGTGTATTCTGAGCATACACATCTAAATCACTGTTGACACAAGGTAACCACTGGAGCGTCTGTTTTTCTTTCTCTATTTTCTGACGTGTCCGAGGCATCGCAGGCCGCTTAGGGACCGAGGCACGCCACAGTCCGTTCTCTGAGGCTGGTATTACTCACAGCCTGTATGCTGCAGAAGTGGAGAGGTTAGTCAGTGTCACAGCTGATCAGAGAACAGCCCAGCATGGTGGTTGAACAGTGTCATGCGTGGAGAAATCTCTAAGACATGTTGCCTCCCCTGATGCCTCCTCTCCATTTGTCGGACTTTTGTGTTTCTGGCTAATGAGTTAAGACTCTCCAGTCTGACTGGCCATTTGTGGTTGCTTGAGCTTTAATTAGCAGAGCAAAAATGAGCAAAATTACAACAAACATTGAGGTAGGGCTGCACGATAATAGTTAAACGGCATTATTTTGCTCAAAAATATAAGTATGAATAATAATCATGATTATTGTCATTGTAAAAAAA